AGCGCTGTGCAGTCCCAGGTRAAGATCTGCTCAGAGTGCAGGGTGGCGGCGGACCTGACTGCCSGGGAGCAGGAAGAGCACCTTCAGGTTCCATCTCCTCCCGCAACTCGGCTTCCAGGTGGAACAACAGAGAAAACCTGCAATTATCTAAAAGGGTCTTTGAAATTCGCCTCTGTTTTCAACTACCTGACTGTGTGGAGCCCGATGTTTCCATAGACTTCAACCTAAGTAAGGAACCATTAGATCAATGCAGAAGCATCGGTGAGGACCAGCTGCCTCCTACTGAGCCAGGCATAAAGAGATCCGCAACAYGAACACRGTCGCTTTCCCACTATTTYTGTTTGTTTGCTTGTTTTTGTTTTTAAGTACATTTCTTCATTTTTTGAATTTTTGTATTTTATTTATATATTTATACTGGGGGATGAACCCAAGGGTGCTCTTCTACGGAGCTKCAKCCACRGTGCTTTTTATTTTGAGACAAGGCCTCACTAAGTTGCTGAGGGTCTTGCTGATGGCCAAGGCAGGCCTGGAACGTGTGATCCTCCTGCCTCAGCCCCCTCCCCCCTCTCTGGAATTACAGGTGTGGACCACCTTGCCCAGCTTGAAAGTATAGTTTTAAAAAAATTAAAAATAAAATTTACACCATTTACTTAGCATGTGATGGATTTATTACTATACAGATGCATTAACAGATTTTTAAAATCTTTACTTTCTGATAGGATAAATATTAGTGACTATAATTCAAATGAAAGCTCTTCGGAGCCTTGGATGACTTTTAAGAAGGCAGACCAAGATGGGGCACGGTGGCACACACTTGTAATCCCAGCGATTCTGGAGGCTGAGGAAGGAGGACTGCAGGTTCAAAGCCAGCCTCAGGAACTTAGTGAGATCTTGTCTCAGAATTAAAGTCAAAAGGCCTTTGGGGTAGAGTAGAGCACCCTGGGTTCAATCCCCAGCACCAAAAGAAAAAAGCCAGAGGCTCTGGAGCTGCTGCCGCAGGGCRGGCACCATCCCCAAAGCGCCAAAGGCACTTTTTAAAGGCCCGTTGGTACTAGTTGCTCACAAGGAGTCTTTTAAAGATTTGGAACTTTTTCCCATGAAGTTTCCCACATTTGGGTCAAGAATGTAAGTGGGTTGATGAGTTTTTCATCTGTTACGAATTTTCTTTCAGCTGCTGTTAAAATGTCCWCGCTGCGCGTCCCTGAGTCGGTACCAGCAGGGCGTGGCGCCGCAGAGCTGTGCTGATCCAGCATAACAGGAGCTCGGCGGTGGCCGCGGGCCCTCGCTTACTATTGAGGGTTTTTATTATTCAGATCTTCTGTCTCATTTGGACCCGTCCTTTGGTGTAGCTTGCAGCGTGGCCTGGAATACTGATGACTYGGTTGAAAACACTGCTGGCCTGCGGTCGGTCATCTTGGAGTGGACGCAGTTCCCACAGCAGAGGGCTTTGTTGTTGTCGGGTCTGCTTTTAGGGCTTGGGCGTCCAAAGCTGTTGTCGCCGTATCACATACACCTGTATGTGGTCAGGGAGAACGCGTCTGGAGGTGACCAGGGCAAGAGGGACATCCCAGAGCAGAGGCACTCACAAGCCTTGCGACGATTGCCCTGGAGGTGGGGGGCGATGGCAGACTCCCGCGCAGAGGCCTGGGTCTTGGTTCTGAAGTGGATAGGGCGGCTCTGCGCCCAGGAGGAAGGGGCCGGGCGCAGCGCTGTGGAGAAGCCCCACTGCCAGTGGCTGGGAATGATTTGTGGCCATTACTCGAGCCGTTTGTGTATTTGTTCTCTCAAGTAGTTTAAAGAGACCCACGGCCTTGTTTACACTGTCCATTTGCTCAACAACGCTCGTCTTAGAGATAACATAAATAAATAATCTTTCCTGAGCAGCCTTTCAAGAAACGGAATCTAGGTGGCTGTGGAATGTATCATAGAGGACCAAGAATCACAGAGAACTTTGTCCCCACACCTTTATTCTGGTGGGGAGGGTCCTGGGGATTGAACCCGGGGGGGACTCTACCACTGACTATATCCCCAGCCCTTTTATATTTATTTTGATGATGATGATGATGATTTTTTTTTGTGGTGCAGCAGATCAAACCCAGGCTTCAGGCAAGCCGGGCAAATGCTCTACCACTGAGCCCCAGCCCCAGCCCTTTTTTAAAATTTTGAGACAGGGTCTTGCTTAGTTACYGGGACTGGTGGTACTTGCAGTTCTCCTGCCTCAGCCTCCGAGTCGTTGGAATTGTAGGTGTGGGTCACCACTCCCAGCTTGGGTTTGTTTTTTTTTTTTTTTTCTTTTTTCCTTTTAATTATTTTTTTTAATTATTATTTTTTTTTTAGTTGTCAATGGATCTTTATTTCATCTATTTATATGCGGTGCTGAGRATCGAACCCAGGGCCTCACACATGCTAGGCAAGTGCTCTGCCACCAAGCTGCAGCCCCTCTTTTAATTATTTTTTATTTTGAGACAGGGCCTTGCTAAGTTGCTGAGGCTGGTCTCACACTTAGGATCCTCCTGCCTCAGCCWCCAGTCACTGGGATTACAGCCTTGCACCACCACGCCCAGCTYGTCAATCATGTCAGGCATTTTACAGTGACTGTTTCCCATCAGGGAAGCATTTTAGTAAGGTGAGGCCTCCAGTCACGAGGTGATGTTCCTCCAGCTATTCTGTGGGCCGAGGCCAGAGTTGGATCCAGGAAATCATTTCTTTTCAAAAGATGTCTCAAGTTTGRGAGGCAGTGGCTTTGCTTTTGCCTCCTGTTCTCTCCTCTGCCATCCCAGTTTGAATCACGGAAAATCTATTCATTTCACACTCTGCACAGCCTTGAATGGAAACTGGGAGTCCAGAAGCCCAATAGTGGCCTGAGGTCGGGGCTGGAGGTGGGAAGCACGCTGCAGGGCCGCGCAGCGTCAGGCTGCCGAGGGCTGTTCTGGGGCTGGGGGGCATCTCTGGGGCCTGCCTGGCCTGTGCGAGGCCCTGGGGTCCATGCCAGCACCACCAGAAAGCAAACAACCACCAAAATACCCTGCACTGTATATTTAAAATGTACAAAGGCTGGGTCCTGTGTGCAGTGTCCCTGGCGTTGACTGTGGTGATGGTTTCATGTGTGCTCACCTCCAGATGCATCGAGGGCGTTGAGCTGAACACAGTAAACACGCACAGGACCTTGATCTATTGCCCAGGCTGGTTTCCTGGGCACAAATGGCCCTCCTGCCTCGGCCTCCTGAGTGCTAGGACWGCAGGTGTGCACCTAACTTTTTAACGTAGTCATACCTCAGTAAAGTGGCCTAAAGGAACCAAGCCGTGCCGACAGTGAGGCGCACCTGTCACAGGTGGACCTGTCCTTTGGTGTAGATTGCAGAGTGGCCTCGAATACCGATGACTTTATTGAAAGCACTTCAAGGCCAGCCTCAACAACTCAGCGAGCCCTAAGCAACTTAGTGAGACCCTGTCCCAAGTTAAAAAATAAACAGGGCGGGGGATGCGGCTCGGTGGTAAAGTGCCCTGGGTTTAATCCCCGGAAGAAAGAAAGAGGAAAAGGGGAGGAAGGGAGGGAAGACACCACGCTGGGGGGGCGCAACCTGAACTGTGCCGTKGAACGTGCCGTTGGGTCGCACACCCTCGGTATCGATTGATTCGAGCCCTCCCCGTTTTGTGTGACAGTCACGGCTGATTTGTGACCGGTAGGCAGGTGACGAAGCGCTGAAGTGTTTGGGGGGCCTGTCTCCCTCCAGTGTGTGGCTGGGCCAGACCCCTCTCACCTCTCGGGAAGCAGCCGACTTTCCGTCTTGGCCTTCCTTGAAGCYCTCTTCCCTGTGACGTGCTGATGGTCCCCCTGGCTCTCTTCCCCGTCCTCTCTGGCCCCTTCCCGGGCCGGGCTCTGCTGACTCCTCTCTGGCATTCTGGTCCCTGGCTGTGGTTTTAGATCCGCGCCTCCCCGGCCTAGCCTTGAGCTCCAAGTGGAGCTGCTCCCCCGCCCTGTCCCCAGACGTGCCAGTCYCTTGCTCCACACGGCAAAGCTCATTTAATTCCACCCTGAAATGCAGGTCCCCCGTGTCTGGACCAATCTAATCGCAGAAAACAGAAGCGGAGTCACCTGGCCTCTCCCCGTCACGTGCCCCCTGCTCCCTCACCTGGTCATTCACTGACACTGGTGGACTCCATTTGTTCAGCGTCTCCAAAACCCTTCCTTGTGCACCTGCGTCCCCTGCTCTGGACTGCGAGGATAGTCTCTTGGTGATTGGAAACCTCCCCGTGGTCATGCCACCCCCTTGGAAGTCCTGCTCCGGCCTGCTGGAGAGTCTGAGCTCCTCAGATCTGCCGCGGAGGCCTAGGGTGGCCTGGCCCTGGGCAGTCTCTCATCTTGCCCCAGCACCACCCATCCCCTATGCCTCACTCACCCTCCCTGGGGACCCTGGGGACAAGCCACCTAAGCCATGCATATGCCTCTGCACATGGCAGACCTGCCCCCGGAGCAGGAACCCCAGGCGCTCTGCAAGGTGGAGCACATCTGTTCCTTTGGGTTCCAAGCACAGTCCCTGGCACACAGTGTGTCTGCATAAATAAAGTCCATGAGATATTGTATTTCTTTGAAGAAAGCAGACTTTTATAACTCCCACTTCCTCGCTCCAAACTCCATCAGCTTTTTGGAATGACGACCCAGATGTCCCAGTTAAAGTGTTCCTATAGAGACTGTGCCTGTGGGTGTCACCTGTCAGTAGTCTGGCATCTGAGAGAGACAGGTCCCTTTGCATCAGTGACATCCAAAAAGCATGTTTCTAAAACATGAATGGATCCGCCAGAGCTCAGTACTCCAGGCAGTTTTCAAGCCAAATTTGGTAATGTTGATTTAAAACTGTCCAACCAAAAGGCATCCAAGAAGGATCATGGAAACTCTGAGTGCTGCTTCCTGTGTGGCAAAGCACTATTAAGAGGATTGTCYATTGAAATTATGTCCATCACAGAGGAAGACTGTGAACTCTCTCTCCTTTCTTAAACAGGATCAGTTTGACAACTTAGAAAAACACACACAGTGGGGAATCGACGTTCTTGAGAAATACATCAAGTTTGTAAAGGAAAGAACTGAGATCGAGCTCAGCTATGCAAAGCAACTCAGGTAAGGGTTATTTGGTCAACTGCAAACGAATGTCATGGTAATTTATATTTGCACCTTATAGTGTAAATGTATAATCCTTTAAATATTCTTTCCCTTTTATGTTGTGTAATATTTCAATAGGAGCAGTTTTTAATACACAAAACAATTTTCATGAGACAGTAAAAATAAACTATTGCTTTGAGGCTCAAGATTGTGTGTGTGAGAGAGAGAGAGAGTGTGTGTGTGTGTGTGTGTGAGTGTGTGTGTGTGTGTGGTGCTGGGCATGGAACCCAGGGCTTCAGGCATGCTAAGCAAGTGCTCTACCACTGAGCTAAATCCCAACCACTTAAATTTTTAATGATGAAATGATCCGATAAATTGGTTTTCATATAAAATATTTAAAATTTATTGGTGGAATCGATCTTGAACTTGAAGTAGCATGTAAAATCTTTAATGTGTGGTTGAGCTGACTTATGCATGGTGTTTAAAGACTTATTAAAGATGTAGATGGAGGTGTTGAAGATCTAGATGATTTTTGGTTTGGAAATATTTAGTTTTCAAGCAAAGAGTATCTGCATGAGAGATGTGTCCTGTTGTTCGCCGCTAGGGTCCTCGTGGTTTAAATAAGCATTTAAGAGAGATGCATGGGGGCTGGGGATGTGGCTCAAGCGGGGCTGGGGATGTGGCTCAAGCGGTAGCGCGCTCGCCTGGCATGCGTGCGGCCCGGGTTCGATCCTCAGCACCACATACAAACAAAGATGTTGTGTCTGCCAAAAACTAAATAAATAAATATTTAAAAAAAAAAAAGGCTTTAAAAAAAAAAAAAAAAGAGAGAGATGCATGGGATGGTTTTTCTTTTTGAGATACAGATTTTATTTCCTGGGGTGTATATGCAGAGGTGGGATTGCTGGATCGTAAGGTAGCTGTATCCTTAATATTTTGAGGAACCTCCGTATTGCTGTTTGGACTTTCTGACGAGAGCTATTCTCACGGATGGAGTGGTCACCTCCCCTGGGTTTGAAACRATGTCTGTTCAAGACGTTTGCCCATTTTAAAGTCGGATTATTTGTACGTTCACTATTGAGTCATGTGAGTCCTTGTATACTTAGTTTCAGGTCTGATATCTTTGATCCATTTTGAATGGGGTTTGGTACGTAGTGTGTGAGGTAAGCATTGCTTCGTGCTTCTGTGGRTGGATATCCGTTTTCCCCATATCATTTATTGATGCGACTATCCTTTTCCCATTGTGTGTTCTTGGAACGCTTGTCTAAGGTCAGCTCTGTAGATCTCTGGGTCCTGTGGAATGTTTGACTGCATGGTAAGTCTTGTTCYCATCAAGTAACTAAAGTGTAGGACTCGACAGGGCTCCAGCCCTGAGCCACCTCCCCAGCCCTTTTATATTTTGAGACAAGAGTCTAAGTCGCTGAGGCTGGCTTTGAACTTGTGATCCTCCTGCCTCAGCCCTCTGACACTCTGGGATTACAGGTGCACACCACTTTGCCCACTGGTCCCAAGATTCAAATAGCAACGYGCGTTTCATCACATCTCTGAGAAACATCAAAATCTGTGCTTTTGGGGAATAAATTGGTCAAAAAGAGTCCCAGTAAGAGAAGAGGCTGCAGGAGCCTCATGGGGCTGGTGGCTGCTGTGGCCCCGTGACCCTGCTGGACTCCTCACTTCCCGCCCTCCCACGGGCTTCCCATGCTTGGCAGCCTCCTTTCCCAGCCTCCCGCCTGCCTCCTACTTCACAGAAACAGTGAATGAACCCGGAGAAGGCGTGGGCTCACTCTGACCACCCCACCCACCTGCYGGCTCCCACAGCCCCCTGGACACCCCCGTCCCAGGCCCTCCTCTGAGCACCCACCTCGGCCTCTCACCCCAGAGCTCCGCTCCGGCGGCCCCTCTCGCCCACCACCAGTTCTCTCCTCTCTTCAGAACCTCCCCGGCGCACCCCCCCTTGTCAAGGAAAAGCAGAGCCTCCCTGGGCTCAGCACCCCCACCCCYGCCACCACCCTTCTTTGCTCCCCTCTGCCACGGGCTTCTTGGGCACCTGGGTGGCCCCTCCACCGACTTCAAACCCCAGCCCCRTCCTGTCTCAGGATGGCCCGTCCTCATCCTTCTCCACCCTTTGGCAGCTTTGACAGCAGCGTGCACCCTCCCCCGAGTTCTCCAGACCCCTCCTGTGCCGGAAGCTCCTCCGGGGACCCTGGCCGGGTCCTGTCCCTCCTTGCTGAKCGCAGCAGTGACTCACAGATGTGTGTCTCCTAGTGGACCTCTYTCCCCAACTCCAGAAGCAGCTGCTCTCCACCTCTGTTGGGGTGTCCAAAAATACCTGCCCGGGGGCTGCCTGGACGGGATTCCTGCCCCAGGGACTTGCTGTCGCCTGTGACGGCCCTCGGGGCAGCTGTGCCCTTCCTGGCCTGGGGAGAACCTCAGAGCCGTCTTCCCGCCTGCCCTCTCTCCCAGACTGCCCACAAGCCATCCGAGGCCCCTGCGACCCTGACCACTTCTCACCTCCGCTGCCCACTCCGGGGCMCAGGTGGCCATCACCTCCTGCCTGGGTTACAGGGTCTTCCCATGGCCCAACTGGACCCCACCCCGTTGGCGGCCTGTTTTCTACAAAGCCGTCGTTCAGCTCCCTCCGTTCAGGACTCCAGCAGCCTCCCCGTCTCACAGAGTCAAGTCCTCAGGACTGTCCTGAAGTCCTTCCAGGGACCTGTCCTACAAACCCGCCRGCAGTGGCCCGACCCCCACCATCTCCTCCGGCTCCAGGTCTCTGCCGCCACTCGAAGAGGCTCCCAGCTTCCTGGGCAGCAGCCTGCTYCTGCCCCAGGGCTGGCCCGACCCTTCCTAAAGATGTCACCTGAGCCACCTTCCCCAGGCCCTGAGTGACCGCTCCTTCACCCCCTCCAGGTCACTGCGGCAGTCCGGCTCCGACCCTCCGCCCCGTGCTCTGCCCTACTTCGGCTCCTCCGTGGTCACTTTCCAACACTGTCAACTTTCTTTGTTTTGTTTTTTTTTTTTCCTGAGAATCGAACTGAGACTGGAGCCCAGGGCCTCATGCGTGCCAGGCAAGCGCTCCACCCCGAGCCACAGCCCAGCTCTTGATGATGTTTTCCATATTTACTTATTTATTTGTTTGTTTTTTAGTTGTAGTGGACACAATACCTTTTATTTTTACTTATTTATTTTTATGAGGTGCTGAGGATCGAACCGGGGCCTTGCAGGTGCTGGGCGAGCGCTCCACCGCTGAGCCCCAGCCCCGGCCCCTCCAGCTGTTTATTTTTAAATCGACAAAAGTCTGCGGGTGTCTGGCGAGCGACCTGGAGTTTTGGTGTCTGTTGCGGTGTCAGAGTTAAATCAGGCTCATACAGACCTCAGCTCGCCCCTTTGTGTGTGTGGTGAGAACCCTAAGATCCACTCAGCCATCTTCAAGTAGACTCTCCGTGGTCACTAACTGTGGTCACACGTTGTGCAGAGGTCTCTTGAACTGAAATGTTGTGTAGTTTGACGGACTCCTGCCCAGCGTCCCCTGGACCCCTCCCCAGGGTCCCGAGGGTATCTAGTGCATACATCTGTGTTTGCTGGCTCCTGCTTTCCTCCTGCCTGGAGCCAGCCCCAGGGCTCTTGGAGCAGGGTTCCTGGTGAGCCCTCTCGTGTGGTGCAGGGCCTGACACAGGGGGCAAATGTTCATCCCAAGGGGGAAGCCGCAGGGCACAGGGTGGAGATACCTGTCACCACCTGGTCTTCAGGCCCAGGAGCCGGCGGGGCTTGGACCACCAAAGGTGTGACCTCAGAGGAGGCACCAGCAGCTGCAGTCCCTGGGGACGCTCAGGAAGGAGGGCTGCGCCTGGGAGTCACCCTCAAAGGATTCAGTGGAGCTGGGTGCGTGGAGCTCGCCCGCCATCCCAGTGATCAGGAGGCTGAGGCAGGAGGATCGCTGGATCAAAGCCAGCCTCAGCAGCTTAGTGAGGCCCTGAGCAACTTAGCAAGACCCTGTCTCTAAATAAAAASATTTTAAAAAAGGACTGGGGAGCGGCTGAGGCCGGGGCTCAGAGGTACAGCGCTCGCCTAGCAGGCATGGGGCTCTGGGTTCTCGATCCTGGACACGACATGAAAATAAAATAAAGGTATTGTGTCCACCTACAACTAAAAAGTAAATGGTTTTTTGTTTGTTCGTTTCTTTGTTTGTTTTAAAGGGCTGGGGATGTGGCTCAGTGGTTAAGTCAAGCTCCCCGGGTTCAATCCCAGGGGGTGGGGTGAAGAATCAAATGTAAAGATTTGTCATCCCAGATCAGTAAAACCAGTGATGTGATGGAGGGGGACAGGGACGGGTGGCACATGGAGGAGCCACTGCGTCAGGACTGAAGGACTAAAGGGAGCCGGGCCCATGAGGGGCGGGCACTCCTCCGGGTGGAGGGAGAGCAGGTGCCAAGGCCCCGAGGTCAGAACATGTTCAAGGAACGGAAAGGCCGGCACCGCTGGAGTTTTGGTGACAGATACTTTCTTGAAATATCAATATGTCAGAAAATGAATGTGACTTTGGGGAGGGCCTCTGTCATTAAACAATTTTTTTCTGCGTCAGAGGGGGAAACGTCCACTTATATCTATGTATTGTTTTGCAGTACCATGGAGCTGCAGCCCCAGCCCTTTTTATATTTTATTTTGAGACAGGGTCTTCACATGACTTTGTTTTCCTTTTGGCAGTGTCTTGTTACATTGCCCAGGTTAACTTCAAATCCCTAGGCTCAAGCGATCCTCCTGCCTCAGCCTCCCCCAGTGTCTGTCTGTCTGTCTCTCTCTCTCTCTTTTTTTTTTTTTTAGTGGTACTGGAATTTACCCCAAGGGTGTTCTAGCACTGAGCTCCATCCCTAGTCATCTTTTTTTTTTTTTTTTCCTTTTAAGATAAGGTCTTGTTAAGTTGCTGAGGTTGGCCTCAAACTTGTGATCCTCCTGACTCAGCCTCCGGAGTTACTGGGACAGCAGGCATGTACCACTGTGGACTCTTTAAAGCCCCTTGTTCTCGTGAAGTCCTGAACAGTATTAAAGACCCACTGTGGGTGACTGTTCCATCAAGACCATTCCGTTTTCACAAATGAGTATCACTTGGACGGTGTTGGCATTTCAAGTAGCGTTCAAATGCTTCTTAAAAGCACGGATAATAATAATATGCTCTTGAAATGCCAGCAGAAGCCCAAAAGCTAAAGAGATCTAGAAATGAACTTTGGTTGGACCCAACAATATCCCTCCCAAGGCTATCTCTCCCACTAAAATAAAAGAAAAAAGAAAAGAAAGATCCATCTTATTTGTAGTATTTGAAAAACAAACAGGTAAATAAAAAAAGAGACCCCCCAGGTCATCCTTGAATGTAGGGGTCTGCCCGAGGAGCCTGGGGCGCTCCTGCACTCGGGTGCTGTCTAGGGACTGATAATGGGGAGAGGAGCACACACATCACACACGTTCTTCACCAGGGACCGGGTGCAGACCTGGGTGAGTCCAAAGACCAYGAGGTGGGGCCAGGAATGTTTCTGTTTTTTGTTTTTTTTTTCCCTCCCTTTTATTTATGTTTTAAAAGCTCACCACAAAATTTCTGGATAAAGATGGCAAAAGAGGGCCGGGGCCAGGGCTCAGTGGCAGAGCACGTGCCTGGCRTGTGTGAGGCCTTGGGTTCGAATCTCAGCACCACATGTAAATAGATGAACAAAAGACATCCGATCAGAARATGGTGTGTCCCAACAAGAAGAGGCGAAAAGAGAAGCCAGGAGAGTCTCAGCCGCAGAAAATCAAGCAAATGAAGAAAGTCGCTTAGGCAGGGAGCCAGGGAGAGGGACAGGAGGTGCTGGGGCAGCCAGAGAGGACGCCGACCCCACCCTCAGCCACAGGAAGGGAACGAGTCCTGAATCAGTTCAGACAGAAGCCACCGAGGGCCACACTCAGGAAATGGTGGCAGGAAGACTCCGGAGGCAGACATCAGCGTCCACCCTCCGGCCTCTCCATGCCCCACGTCGAGGCTGAGCGCCCCSGAATCACCCCAACTAGGACGTCCAYGGCCCCGAAACCCCTTTGCCTGSTGGGGTCACCACCAAGGGGCCTCCGAGGGGTTCCAGAGACAGGGGGCCCRGAGGCTGGGCCAGGGCCTGTCCACCCCTCCCTGACCGCCTGTCCCCAGCTCCCAGCACACAGAGCCCAGGGCCCTCGGGCCTTGGGGGGACCTCAGGAAGGAGCCACGGCCCAGAGCAGGAGAGGAAGCGCGCGGCACCCACAGGCACCGTCACCAAACGGGGCGYCTCTGTGACACCCTCACCAGCCACGTCCCGTCAGACCTCCTCACCCCCCTCAGGAATCGGGGGCCACCGTGTAGGCTTCACAGGGGACGCACAGGGAGCCACCTGCCKGCTCCTACGCTGTCAGGGTCTGTCCAGGTGGGACTCCGGTCAGACACGGCAAGGCCACACAGCCAGGCCACTCGGCAAGGCCACTCAGCCCGCCACAGGGGGACAGAAAGGAAGGAGTGGAGGCYGCAAAGCCAGCCGGGAAGAAAGCACGAGAATAAGCAGAGCCAGGCCCTGGGAGGGTTCTGCACAGGGACGGGGGCAGCACGTGGCCCCCCCACGGGACAGAACTGACGCGGTGGAGGGAGACCCAAAGGGGACCGAGGACCCCGACATCCCACCATGGAACTCACACAYAAAGCAGTTGTCACCGAGTCAGGTGAGGGACAGGCTCAAGGTGACCGTGGTGTGAACACAACTGACAAGATCAGGAACAGAAGAGACCTGCAGGAGGGGACTCAGGAAGGTGTCACCTGCAGCTCTCCCGTCTGCCACCAGCAGCAGGACAGGAAGGCGGTCAGCCCTGACAAGGAAGTTCCCTGGAGCCAGCGCAGAGCGGGCTCTGCCTCCGGGGGCCCCGAGAGCCGGCAGGAAGCCGTCACCAGGGGATGGGCGAGGACAGTGCTGCRCTGGGTTTTTCCACCAAGGGCCAAGGAAGCAACGCTGTTGGGACAGGAAAAGCCCCCCCAGACACCCGCCAAGCCCTGGGTGATGTCCTTCCTGTCGCCAAGGAACAGCGGAGAAGCTGTGGCCCAGGGGACGGGCACAACCACCCTTCGAGTGCAGCTGGAGGACAAATGGACCCCCCCCACCAGGCAAACCACGTGGCCGACTACTAGAGGAAGAAGACGTGGAACATCAYTCATCTTTACAAGTGACTCCGTTGAGTCTGTAAAATTACAACATGGAAGAAACAGGGCCACCTAACCTGAGCCACAYCCCCAGCCCTTTTTAGTTAAAGACATGGTATCACTAAGTTGCTTATTGTGTCAATAATTGTGTCTTTTTTAAAATTCCAGAGTGGGGCAAACTGGTACACTCCCATAATCCCARGGACTCAGGAGACTGAGGCAGGAGGATTGCAAGTCAAGGCCAGCCTCAGCGACTTATCGAGACCCTAAGCAACTTAGTGAGACCATGTCTTTAAATAAAAGTACAGGGGCTGAGGATACAGTTCAGTTGGTAAAGTGCTTGTCTTGCATGCACAAGGCTCTGGGTTCAATCTCCAGCACCACAAAAAAAGAAAAGAAAGTCTAGACTGGGCACAGTGGTGACACCTGTAATCCCAGGGACTCTAGACACTGAGGCTGGAGTATTGCAAGTTTAAGGACGGCCTCAGCAAGACACTGTCTCAGAATATAAAAGGGCTAGGGATGTGGATCAGAG